CTGGAACTTGTTATGTAGTGGAGGGTTTGAGGTAATCCTCCTGCCTTACTCAGGAGATCCTCTTTAAATGGGCCTCTCTGCCCTCTCCCCCAGGTGCTGGGAGTCCTTTCCTCCAGGAGAATGTACCACAGGCGCATCTGCCCTCCAGGCCGCCCGGTGCCCTGCTCTCCATGAGCTATGTCAGAGATGGTGGTGGCCAGCGGGCCCCCCTTCTGCCACCCAGAGGAGCAGGTAATCTTAGGCCACTGATATTTAGAGCACGCCTCCTTAGACGTTCAGGATTGCCTGCTTTTCCTCTGACATTGGGGTCAGGACAGAGCTTCCCCCTCTTGCACCAAAGGACCCCAAATCTGACACTCCTTTTTCTCTAGTGTACACTCAGGGTGATGGCGCTGGGGTCCACCATCTTTGCTACCTCCCAGACAGCTCAGATTCAGATGTGGAGGAAGTGACCATGGAGGACATCCCGATCATCCCCCCGCCTCCCAAGACACATCTGGCAACCCGGTGCAGGGGCTGGTTAGCCTCCCCAGGACCTGGTAATTTCGGGGACAGGGGAGTGAAATCTGGTCCCTGGTTCATGACAGTTTGTCATCCTGCTTTGTTAACAGCTTTATGTGGGATATCGTAACTCACGGGTCTCCCAGGTCTTCTGTCCAGGTGTCTAGTCCCTGTCACACAGTGTACTCAGAAGTAAAACCATCACCACATCAAACTCATGTGTTTAAACTGAGTTTGGAGGGATGGGGTCGATATCTATGATCCCTGGGCTGGCCTTGAACTCACAGAGATCCACTGACCTCTTCCTCTTGTGTGCTGGATTAAAGGCTTCTTGTACCACACCCAGATTATTTATTATGGTTTTGTTTTGTTTTGTTTTCCCTTTTTCTTTTTAGCTTTTTCTTTCTTTCTTTCTCTCTCTCTCTCTTCCTTTCTTTCTTTCTTTTTTATTTTTATTTTTTTTTGAGACTGTTTCACTGTGTAGCTTGAGGCCTGTCCTGGAACTTGCTCTGTATAGAAGACTGTCCTTGAACTCACAGAGATCCACATGCCTCTGTATCCTGAGCACTGGGGTTTAAAGCATTTGCCACCACAGTCCTGCTATTTCCTTTCTTCTTTTTAATTTTTATTTTATTTATTTTGTTTTTTCCAGACAGGGATCCTCTGTGTAGCCCTAGCTGTCCTGAAACTTGCTTTGTAGAACAAGCTGAGATCTGCCTGCCTCAGCCTCCATAGTGTTGGGATTAAAGTGTGTGCCACCACTGCCCGGCCTATTTTGGTTTTTCAAGACAGGGTTTCTCTTGGTAGCTTTGGCTGTCCTGGAACTCACTATGCCGACCAAGTTGGCCCTGAACTCACTGAGATCTGCCTCCCTCTGCCTCCCAAGTGCTGTTATTTAACACATGTGACACCACCACCTGGATCAGATTATTTATTTTAATTCTTTTTAGTTTGTAGATGTACATCTGTGTGTTTGTAAATGTGAGTGCAGTTCCCACAGAGACCAGAAGAGGGAGTCAGACCCACTGGAGCTGGAGTTGGATGTGTTTGTGGACCATGAACCTTGAGAGCTGGGAAGTGAACTCGGGTTCTCACAAGAGCAGAATGTGCCTTTGACTGTTACTCGATCTCTCCAGGCCTTCAATTTATTTGTTGTTGTTGTTTTTTAACTTGTTTACTTTTGACCAGCTATTGTGACACAGGACTTTAATTCCAACACTGGAGGCAAAGGCAGTTGGATCTCTGTGTTCAGAGCAAGCCCAGTCTAGAAATCTGTCTCAGACTAGGCCAGAGCCACACAGTGAGACATTGACTCTGGGAGATCAGGCTCTGTAGGCTCCATGTGCATGGGAAGTGCACAGAGTGTGGTCAGTGGAAGAGCCTGGCAGAGCAGCTGGGAACTGGGGTTCCTGTCCTGTCCAGCTGACAATACTGATCTCACCTAACTGCGACTCAGATGTCCTGACCTGTAACTGCTTCTGCCTCTTAGGGATCAGCGAAGAGGAAGAGGTTGAATCCAAGGATGCTGCCTTTGAACCCAAGGCACCCAGTCCTGCCCCGGCCTCGACAGTGAGCTCTGGTAGGGTTCAGGGACACTTGGCATCCTGTGAGGAGGAAGAAAACACAGCACAAAAGGATATAGAAACAAGGAGACCAGCCTCTGGCCTCGGGGTAGGTGGCACTCAAAATCTGCAGCCCAATCCACAGGGCATTTGACTGGCTGAAGGAGCAACAACCATGGTGTGAAAATCTGTGCCCAGCGGTGCATGCTTGCATTTCCTGCAGTCAGGAGGCTGCCAGAGACTGAGTTCAAGGCCAATCTGGACTCCATAAAGAGACTCTCTCTTTTAAAAAATGAATACCCATGAACAGGTGCCAACTTATAGAGACTATAAAGGGTGATTTGGAAAGTCTTTTTTTTTTTTTTTTTTTTAATTTTTCAGGATAGGGTTTCTCTGTGTAACAGCCCTAGCTGTCCTGGAATTCAGTCTGTAGACCAGACTGGCTTTGAACTCACAGAGATCTGCCTGCCTCAGCCTCCCGAGTGCTATAATTAAAGGTGTGAGGCTTGCAAGGCTCATTTTATAGTAAAATGGTCAAATTCTTTGCTAGGCAAGTGCTCTTACCACTGAGCCACACCTGAGCCCCTCACTGGGAGATTCTAGGCAGGGTTGCTATACTACTCAGTAATGCCCCAAGCACCTCCCTGGCATGTTTACCTGTTCTAGAGTAGGATCTCACCGTTTGTGTGACCTAATGAGGTTGCACGTTTGACTCACCAGCAGATGGGCCAACTTGGTTGGGTGGGTCACCTGACATGCTTGACTGGCATGAAGCCCTGGGTCCTCAGGGGTCATCCCTTAGTTGACACAGCCAATCAGGGCCCAGCTTGACTGTCCCTCACTTGTGGATCTGCACTCGAGCTAGGATGAAGACCTGGAGAAGAAAGAGGCCTCAGAGTCTGCAGGGACGGACAGCGCCCCAGTGCCGTCCAAGGTCTTGCAGGACAATAAGGACCCAAGCAACCAGAATCCTTGTAACTGGACCCGCCCCGCGGCCCGGCCCCCGGGCCCTCGGCTGGGGGAGGACGTGGAGGCCTATGTGCTGCTCCCCGCGGCCCGGGACCACGTGGTGCAGTGCCGCATCATCCGGAACAAGCATGGCATGGACAAGGGCTTCTTCCCGTCCTACTACCTCTACCAGGAGGCCGAGGACGGTGTGGCGGTGAGATCCAGCCCTGGTGCGGGGGCCTTCCCGCTGGGGGACAGAGGAGGGAGACGAGCCCCCGATTCCAGCGGCATGCCCCTCCCTTCTGGACAAGGTTAAAATTTCTGGAGCCAGATGTGGCGGCATCGGGGGTATAGCTCAGTGGTAGAGCATTTGACTGCAGATGTGGCCGCATCAACCTATAAACCTAATCATATATGGGACATGGCAGCAGAGAAGGTCAGGAGAGCAAGGTCAGCCTTGTATAGAAAGAAGGAGTTCAAGGCCAGCCTCCTGACCTGACTGGAGACACTATTGCAAACTAAAAAAAAGTCAGGTGGTGGCGGCAGATACCTTTAATCCCCACACTTGGGAAGCAGAGGAAGGCAGACCTCTGAGTTGGAAGCCAGCCCTTTCTAAATCAGTTTCAAGCCAGCCAGGGCAACAATGTGAGACCCTTTCAACGCTTTGTTTCCCCCTGGACTCAGGTCTGTCCTGTCAGGTCTAAGTCCTACCCACCTCAGCACTTCAGACATTTTAGAACACAGTAGCTCAGGTCCTTCCGACCCTATAAACAAGCCTTATCCATTCCACCAAACTCATTCCCACCTGAGTTAAGTGAGTCTCTTCTCTGGCCATCCAACTGAGTCTTCTTGGTGGCCAAACCCCACCCAATCCTGATAGAGACTGGGTCCTTCAAATTGTTTCCATTCTATAGCTAAGCTACACCCCTCTCCTGCTGACCAGTCTCCTCCCAGTGTGGCCTTCTTCACCTCCAGAAATAGCCCTTCCCCTATTCAGAACTGTGTTCAGGATCCTGGCTCTAGAGAGATGTCAAAACTCAATCCTGAAGTCTCTTCTCCGATCTGCAGCATTTCCTTCTGGCTGGGCGGAAAAGGAAAATATGCAAAACCTCAAATTATCTCATCTCTCTGGATCCCAAAGATATGTCTCGCAACGGGAACAACTTTGTGGGCAAAGTTAGGTAAGTGAAGCCTTCTTGGTGTGTGGTGCTCCTGGTATTTGATGAGACAACAGGTGTCAGGGAGCCAGGGAGAGACAGGCCAATGGACTTCATTTCCCAAGAGGCCTCAGTGCACAACACAGGACCTGCACTAAAGCCTGATGGGTTTTGTAGTTCTGCAGGATGTATTTCCACAGGTGGGAAAGAAAAAACATGAAAGCTTTGGATGCCAGGAATACAGGCTGGCATTTAAGATGTTTAGCTTTTTGATAGGGAGAGGGCTGGGACCCCTCAGTTCCTGTGGGGAAAGATGTCTGGAGTGTGAGAGTTCCTGCTTCCTAGATGGAAGAGGGTTCCCAAAGAGTCAATGTAGCATGCTAGAAAGACACAAAAATCAGAGGGCTGGGACTGTGATTTCTTTTCATAGAGGATGGTTTGAGAAAGCACTTACACAGAGTAGCAATCACTATCTCTCGGTTTTTGTTACTCTCCCCCCTGCCCTCCTGGGGCAGATCCAATATCTTGGGCACAAAATTTACCATCTTTGATAATGGGGTGAACCCTGAGAGGAACTACTGGATCCCAGACAGTACCCGGATCAGAGAGAAGCTGGGAGTCGTGTGTTATGTAAGTATCCTGGAGGGGCCTGGATGAATGGGGTGCCAATAGGTAAGAACGCACAGGGAGCTAGGCTAACTCAATATAATTAATTAATCCTGCCAGGAAAGCAATGTCTTGGGGTTCCGGGGACCTCGGAAAATGACTGTGATACTTCCAGGAATGGACAGGCGCAAGCAGAGGATGAGAGTCCAGCCACAAAATGTGAGTCTTTAAGGTTGTGAAAAGCAATACTAAGAGAGGAGAATGGGTTAGAAAACCATGATTTGCAGGTCACATTGAATGGCTTTGCCAGAGTCCCTTCTCAGGAAGTAAAGACTAGAGACTCAAATTCTGGGTCTGGTGCTGGAGAGATGGCTCAATGGTTAGCAGAGCATGTATTGCTCTCCCAGAGGGAGAAGAAAGACAGACCATGTAAGTTGGAGGCTAGCCTCATCTAAATATCAAGTTCCAAGATAGACAGGGCTAGAGTGAGACCTTGTTTAAAAAAAAAAAAAATTTTTTTTTTGTTTTTTTGAGACAGGGTTTCTCAGTGTAGTTTTGGTGCCTGTCCTGGATCTCGCTCTGTAGACCAGGCTGCCCTGAACTCACAGAGATCCACCTGCCTCTGCCTCCCGACTGCTGGGATTAAAGGCATGCTCCACTACCACCCAACTCAAAATTTGTTTTTAATCACAGCACTTGGGAGGCAGAGGCAGGTAGATTTGTGAGTTTGAAGCCAGCCTGGTCTACAGAGTGAATTCCAGGACAGCCAGACTACACAGAGAAACCCAGTCTCAAAACAGAAACAAAAACAAAACAGTTTCTGGAGTTGTTTCCCAGACCCATGTCAGGTGGCTCACAACTGTCTGTAACTTCAACTCCAGGGGACTTACTGCCCTCTTCTGGTTTTGAAGACAACTGCACTCACAGGCATATAATCCACATATACCAGCACACATATATTACATCTAATTAAATGAATTTTTTTTTCTTTTTTTGTGACAGAGTTTCTCTGTTGTAGCCTTGGCTATCTGGAACTCACTCTGTAGACCAGGCTGGCCTCAAACTCAGTGATCCTCCTGACTCAGCCTCCCAAATCCTGGGATTAAAGCCATGCACTACCACCACCCAGTTTAAGCTTGGCCACTTTCAACCTGTGTCTGGAGATATGGAATCACCACAGGAAAAGAGCTGAGAAATTCCAAAGCTCAAAGGTGCAAGAGGTTTCTTCTGTCTGCTCAGTACACTCTCATGCATTTTCTAAAGTCCACCAAGGAGAATCAAGTACTGTCGACAGTGTTTAAGTCAGAACTCTCCCTCACAGAAGTCTCCACAATCCTGAAAAAATCTTTAAGGTTTCCATTCATAACCATAAACAAACGTTAGATGGTGACCATCAAGCACCAGCTGCAAAATGAAAATATAATATACCAACAACAAGCTGGGTGGTGGCACACGCTTTCAATCCCAGCACCTGGGAGGCAGAGGCTCAGGGCTCACTCCATTATCAAAGATGGTGAATTCGGTGCCCAAGACATTGGATCTGCCTCGGGAGGGCAGTGGACAGAGTAATAATAACCGTGACAGTGATTGTTACTCTGTGTTAAGTGCTTTCTCCAACCCATCCTCTAAAAAAGAAATTACATTCCCAGCCTGGTCTATAGAGCTAATGCCAGGACAGGCAGGGCTACACAGAGAAACCGTCTCCAAAAACACAAAAGGGTAAACTTGGCAATCCAGAGACACTGTTCTCAAGTAAATAAATAAGTAAATAAATACAAATAACACGTGCATCTGGACTTAAGGAAGGCTGCGGGTAGCCTAACAAACGATGCCCCTATTGTATCTCAAGGATCAGGATTCGATATTGAGTCGTCTACCAAAGGGTGCAAGACAAGGGCCGCTCCTTCTGCAGAACAAGGCCCCATCCTGGAGCGACGAGAGCGGCGGCTACGTGCTCAATTTTCACGGTCGCGTCACTCGGGCTTCGGTCAAGAACTTCCAGATTGTGCACCCCGATCTACGTGAGCTCTAGCAACCCGAAGACCTGGGCTTGGGGGCGGAATGGGGGCATTAAGCACAACTACTCCCACTTACGTCATTGGGCCGGTTCCTAAAGAGGGCGGAGCCTCGCTGTCGCAAGGTCTATTGGGAGATGTAGTCTCTAGGCTCCTTGAGTTTCCTAGCTTGGTCAGTGTGCAGCTGCCTGGGGCCATGGGACGGAGTTTAACTAAATCCTCTTCCCTGGTTTTCTCATCAGCGGACTACCTGGTGCTCCAGTTCGGCCGCGTGGCCCCAAACATATTCACTATGGATTTCCAGTATCCTCTTTGCCCGCTCCAAGCTTTCGCCATCTGCTTATCCAGTTTCGATGGGAAACTGGCGTGTAACTGAATAAAATTATCATCCCTCACTAGCTGTCCTGTGCGTTTGCGGGAAGCTTCACACCATGCCTCCTTTCTCGTTTAGTTTTTTGATAGTCTGGTCTCCAACTACGCAGCTGACCCTGGCCTTGAACACCTCATCCTCCTGCTTCCACCTCCGGAGTACTGGGATAGCAAGCATGCCCCTTTGTGCTGGGCCTTGTCTTCTAATAAATCCTCTATTTTTAGTGCACATAATAGTGGGCTTCATTTTTATACCTGTCGTCCGGCTTTGCTTGTATCTACCACCCTCTATATTTATTTAATAGCTGCCTTTATTTTTTAAGGCAACTTTCCTCTATAGGTTATGTCTGCCAGTCTTTGGAACTCAGGCCAATCCCCCTGCCTCAGCTTCAAAGTGCTGGGTCTAGTTGTGTCACTTTACACTGTGTAGATCAGGCTGGTCTTAAACTTCGGTTTGGACACAGAACTCATTTTTGCCACCTTTGAAGATCCAATACTGTGGGGTGTTTACCCACCACCCCCACAGCTTCCCAGCGTTTTCTTGAGTGTGATCAGCAGGAAATATTTGATAGAAGGATTTATAGCCGAGAATCTCGCAGAGATAAACAGATAGAAAATAAAGGATAGCCTCGAGAGGGCCTGGAAACTTTTCCAACGGGCCCCAACTGTCTCTGCCCCAGGGTTTTTATAGAGACGCCAAGGGGTGGAGCAAAAGACCTCCTCCCCCAGCACAGCCAAGTGCAGACCATCTCAGACACCTGCACTCAGGCCCGTGGTCCTGATCATCCTCTATTCAGACCTGCTGGGTAAAGCCACGAGGAACCCGAGAACGGGCTCCCACACAATACACCCTGAAGACTTGATCAGTATAAATCAAAAGGCTTTATTTCTTATTAAAAATAAATAAATAACAGGAAAGTACTTGGGGTTAGCGCCGCCTTCCACCGAAGTCCAGGCTGGGGGGAGGGGCCTCACTGGGAAGGGCAGAGGGTGTGGTCACTGCTTGGCTCATGGGCGTGGCCTCAGAGGAGGAGCAAGGCCCAGACTGTGGAGGAGCAGGGGTGAAGGCCAGAGGGAGGGCTGGGTTTCCAAGGCGCGCCCAGGCTCTGGTCCTGAAGGCAGGGGTGAGGTAAGGCCCCAGCTTCTCCTCCACCTGGGCAATGCGGCGGGCAAAGCGGCTCCGATCTCGTGCGAGCTGCTCCCAGGGACCTCGGCGGGCAGCCTGGGCTGGTCCTGCCCAGACAGCCAGGAAGTGGACGGTGACTTTCTCAGAAAAGCGCACCTGGACAGATGGGCAGAGGGAGAAATAAAAATTAGTCCGCAGTAACACTTGGTATCTGAACAGTCATCTGCTGCCACCTGACTGTCCCTGACTCACCCTGACACCATGAACACAGCTGCCACTGTTCCTGCCTCTTACAGCAGATTGCAGCAGGGTGAATGCAGCCTTCCCATGTAAGAAGTTGCAACACACGGGTCCCTGGAGTCCCCACCTCCAGCACCCCACTCCAGGGATTTCAGGTCCCAGGCCCCTCCTCCTAACTCAGAATAATATATTATTAAATAAAAAGCACGTGGAATCTTATTGTAATCCCAGCACTATGACTGCGAATTCCTGAGCTACAAATTTTTAGAAAAGCAATCCAGGCTGCTGGCCCTCACCTTTCTGGGGTGTAGAGGAGTCCCAGAGTCCTGATCTTGGGTGGGGGTTCTGAACAGCCTGAGTCTCCTCTGCAGTCGAAGGGGCAGTTTAGGTTCAGGCCAAGGTGGTGCTGACTTCTCTCCGGGTAAATAGAAGGCCACCTGGAAGAAAGAGGGGTCTGCTTCCACACATCCCTCTGCCTGTTCTCCAGGTAGACCAGCCTGGGCCTGAAGGCTAGGCCTCCTGCCTGGGTCAGCTGCTTCTGAATCATCCGAAACCACACTCTCCGAGTCATCTTCTGTGTCCTCTCCTGGGCAGTACACCCAGGCCTTCAGAAAGGCACTTGTAGGGGGGGTGGCACAGGTCTGCACTATCCTGTCTTCTCCAGCTGACCCCCCATCACTGTCGTCATCATCATCATCCTCCGGGTCCTCCCCAGGTCGACACACCCAGGACTTCAGGAAGGCATGTGCAGGGGAGGTAGGGGACGACAAGGCCTGGCCTCCCTCCTCTTCCTCCGCTGACCCCCAATCACTGTCATCGTCCTCCGTGTCTTCTCCTGGGCAGTACACCCAGGACTTCAGGAAGGCCTTCCCGGTACAGACCGACAACGATGAAGCCTCAGGGTTTCCCTCTTCCTCGGCGTCTGCATTCTGACTAGGCTGATCCTGCCCTGCCCCGTGTGTCTCTGGGTTGGCTTCTCCTTCCTGTTTGGAGCCCTCTATAGAGAGGAACTCGCAGGCTCTGGAGCAGGAGCCTAAAGGAGAGCTGGGGAGGTCAGCTTTATCTTCCTCCGTGGCTTGAGGACCTGCCTCCCCTGGGCAATAATACACAGCAGTGCTGGGCTTGTGTCTTGGAATTAGGTCAGCCTTCTTCACAGTTTCTCCATCCTCTTCTTCCTCAGCTGGACAACCCTCCCGGTGTGAGGGGGGATAAGCCAGCTCAGTCACTGCCTCTCCTCTGGCCCCCACCTCCCCAAGGCTCTTATCGGCACCGTGCAGGCCAGGCGGCAGCCGTGGAGGCAGGGCGGCTGGGTGTTCCCTCTCCTGCTCTCTAGGGCCATCCTGTGCTCGCTCCTCACGGCGTTCATCATCTGAAAGTCCCCAAGTTTCAGGAGGGGAACTGCTGGCTTGCACATCAAGGCAGGGCCCCTGGGCTGCTTCACCCTCCTCTTCAGGAGCTCCGGTTTCTTCGGCCTCCCCCCGAGGGAGGTGGTTCCCAGGGACGAGGGGAGGTGTCAGCAGGACCGTAGCTTCTATCTGATCTGCTGCTGTTAGTGTTCCTGCCAGCCAGGGCTCTGGGGTTTCTGGGCCCCTCAGGCGGCTCCAAGCCCGGCTGAGGAAGCCCATCAGTGGAGACAGGAGGTAGGTGTGAGCATCCCTCCAGTGCGGGGTATGCTGGGGTCTTGGGCTTGGGGCCATGTGTCTGGGCTATCGGAAGGAGAGATTGTTTAGACGCCACTCTGGAAACAGTGTCATGCCACAGCCGTGAGTCACGGTACTATAAATAGTCACAGCAGCAACACGAGAATCCATGCCTCAGATTCCTAATAGCACCGCTCACACCCACCCGCGTCACCTGCTTCTGCTCTCTCAATACCCAGCAGTCTGGGCCCCGGGTTCTACAACCTCAGAGCCAGGAGCCCACCCTCCGGGACCTTTCTTCAGCCCTAGCTGAAGAATCCCCGAGGATTCCTGCCTAGCCCTCGTCAGCCCCGCGAGTCCGGCGTCTAAGCACCCTTCCCCACTCAGGCTGGTGTTCACGCCCCCAGGTCGTCCTCCCGCCTGCCTCTTGGCCCCCGGCCCCTCCTGGAGTCCCTCCCTTTACCGGCTCTACACAGGTCCTAGCACCCAGGCCCCCTTCCCTTTAATCGGGGAGTTCCCACTTCAACCTCCCTGAGACCCCGGGGTCGGGCCTGGGCTCTCTTCTCCCAGACGGAGGGAAGAATCCGGGCTGATTCCCCAGCTCCCCCCTCCAGACTGCTCTCCGCCCCATCCCCACGCACCGGCGGGCTGCGCGTCACCCCGGGGGCAGGAGCGCCGGTTCGGGCTGCCAGAAGCGGTCGCGGTCGCGGTCGTGGGTCCGGAGGTCTCGCAAGGCCGGCGCGTTCATGTCGCCCTCAGGCGTGGGGCTCGGGGACGCGAGGAGTCACAGGCTGCCGCAAGGAGTGTCCCGACGAAGGGATGCGGGGTCCAGCGGGGTCTCGCATGCAATCGTCACAGGTTGAATCCGGGTCAATCTGCGCAGCCACCGCACCAGCGCCTTTATAGCCTGACGGCCGCGTGATGACGTCACGGCGGGCGGGGCTTCGGAAGGCCTGGGAAGGTGGGAAAAGGAAAACAACCCCGGCCTCTCGCGGACTTTCCGGGCTTGGTGACGTCGCCGCCGCTTTCCAGGCGTGGCCTTGGCTCAAGCCTTGCGAGCTGTCAATCTCAAAATAACTTCTGAGCAAGCGCCTGGACTTCCTCAGCCAGGCTTCTTTTCTTTCTATTTCATTCATTCATTCATTGTTTATTTATTTATTTATTTATTTATTTATTTATTTATTTATTTATTTATTTATTTGTTTATTTATTTATTTGTTTGTTTGTTTGTTATCTATTTATTTATCTATTCATTCATTCATTTGTTTGTTTGTCTGTCTATCTATCTATCTATCTATTTTTAATTTTTTGGTTTTTCGAGACAGAGTTTCTCTGTGTAGCTTTGTGCCTTTCCTGGAACTCGCTTTGGAGACCAGGCTGGCCTTGAACTCACAAAGATTCCAGGCAGGGGTGATTTTTATTTGAAGGCAAAACACTCCGTGTGTTTGTTTGTTTTTGTCTGTTATCCTTTCTTTCTTGGTGTTTCTAGATAGGGTTTCTCTGTGTGGTCCTGCTGTCAGGCTGGCCTCGAACTCACAGAGATCCTGCCTCTGCCTCCAGAGTGCTGGGATTAAAGGCGTGTGCCACCACCGCCCAGCTATATTTATTATTTTTTTTTAAAAAAAAACTTTTTAAAATGCCAGCTGTGGAAGTTCATGCCTTTAATCCCAGAACTAAAGAGGCAGAGAAAGGAGGGTCACTGTGAGTTCGAGGCCAGCCTGGACTACATAACTAGTTCCAGGAAAGGCGCAAAGCTACACAGAGAAACCCTGTCTACATGGGGAATAAAAAAAATTATCCTGCGATCCATGATGGCGAAAGCCTTTAATCTCTGCAGTCGGGAGGGAGAGGCAGGCAGATCTGAGTTGGAGCCTAGCCTGGTTTACATAGTGAGTTCCCGAACAGCCAGAGCTACATAGTGAGACCCAGTCTCAAAAAAGAAAAAACAAAGTTTTTTTTCATATTTTATGTGAGTGTTTCCCTCCATGTATATATGTAAATATATATATGTCTAATACACACACACACACACACACACACACACACACACACACACACACACCACTTCTCTATGTGGTGCACGTGGAGGCCAGAAGATGGTTTCTAATCTTGTAGAGCTGGCGTTAGATGATTGTGAACCTCCGTGTGGGTTCTGGGAACGGAATTTGGGTTCTTTGACAGAGCAGCCAGCGCTCTCAAGCCCTTGGTTATTTTTGGTGTGTA